CCATCGGCCAGATCCAGCCTCACCCTGCAGGTACCGTGAAGCCCATACCTAGGATCGCATCTTTGCCGGCTAGATCACCGACCCAGGTCTTGAACCAATGCAGTAGGCAGCCTGCCAGCATGATCTTGATCCGAGCTCTCCCATTCCTTCTGTTTACGCCTTTCCCAATACCAACGCAGTCTTGGACCTGGCTTCGATCAATCTGGCACCAGATCATACGAGCAAAGGCAGTGACCAATATAGATACCTCGGTGCCATTTCTAAGCAGTATCGCCTTCTCCTTGTTGATCTTTTCTCCTACCTTGGCTTATCAAAACCATTTCCCCGGAGCGTGAGATTTCCAATATCATTGGACTCCCCAGGTAAAAGATTCATAGATCCGACCTCAGATCCGCGGACTTCAGCGGGTGTACACCATCGATCCTGATCCTGGTGCTTCCAAAATTCCCTGGTCTCATCGAGATGTAGATGAAAGGCCGGATATAGCATATTCTTTAAATTCGATAGAGCCTTGATCTCTTGGCAATAGACATCCCATGCAAATCACATGTATTATAGATTGATCTGGTATCTTGCTACCTTGAACTCGCGACACCTTGTTCACAAATGCATAAATGCTGTGCCTTTAATACTCGGCTCGTACCAGATTACAACCCGGCGAGCGTCCTGGTTTAGCATCTCCTCCGCTTCTTCTGGTAGCAGTCCTCCGTGCTTGGCGGGATTGACCCTGGCGGATCTGATTGTAGAATTCCTTCATCGGATACTAACCAGAGTCGTGGATATCGCCGCAACCGCGGCAAACGTAGAAGCAGTGACCCCGTGGATGTCCCTTCCGACCGCACTTCTCGCAGACCAGATGTCTCCATCATCGGGTACCCGTATGCTTCCTTGATCCACGTTGCTGACAGCGCACCGGCCCTGTTTGATCTTCCTGGTCTCGAGATCCGTAAACAAGACAGTCTCCAGAATGCATATCGGGGTTCTTCGACCCCCCTCCGGTCTTCATCAGCGATCTTCTGGGGCGGTTGTGCAGATCCTGCGGTATTCTTCCATGTCCGAGATCCGGGCACTCTGAATCATAGCCGAGCCGCCTGTTCTGACTATTGCTGTAATCACAGCTACTGAAGCTGAGTACACATCGTTTGGATCGTACTCGTCGTTGGAGCTATCTCCTTCCACCGA